AAACCCCAAAACCCCAAAACCCCGTTAAGTCAAAATATAGCGGAAAAAGAGGTAAAGAATTTGAATATAAATATTATAAATAGAATAGTAGTAATAAAGAGAGTTGCTTGAATACTAATCAAACTTAAGCATGCTAAAATAAGTATACCAACAGATTCAAGACTATAATACCAAGTCAGTAGATTAAATGAACCCCAATGAGATCAAAAGATACTCTAGGTTTAGGCTAATTAGAACAGTTATTAGATTGATAATAGCAAATATTCTATATGTGTGGGTTTAGAGCGATTATTGCGGTGAGGAAAGCAGGACTGAATGCATTTTGAATCATCATATCCCCAAACTACCAGAGTGGGTGGTTATCCATATTGCAGGTTGTGCTCTATTTATTTATGAATTGCATCGAAGACAGAAAGATTTAAGAAATGGAGTGAGAATGGTGAATGATATAGCAATATTTGTATTAGTATGTGCTAATATCTTAGTGCTCATATTTACTTTTAACACTGTCACATAACAAAACATTGGTGGTGTCTATACCTCAATATTCGTACTCCTTTTGTTCATATATGGGTGCGTTCTAATAAGTTAATTTGCAATTGATAAAACTAGATTGTTAATCGGAAAAGCAAGAACCTCGTTAATATTGACATTTTTAGTACTGTTTGTGGTAAGATACATTCATACGAAGTTTATACTTAGCAGTTGCGACAATTGGCTGAAAGGTATATCATAAGATTTAGACTAAGGTAATGAGGCCTCTTGCAAAATCCCAGAGCCAGGTATCTGTCCATTTGAAATGACTAATGGCATATTGGATCTATCCGCTTATCTCAGAGAATTTTAATGTGAATATCAAGTTAATAGACTTTCCTACTTTGAAAGATTTTACAAAACTAATAAGACATATATTGCCCATCCACTCTCTAAGTTTTTCGAATTATAGCAAAGACACATTAGCACTTATCCCTATTAAATAGTTAAACATTCAGTAGGATATGATACTTTAGAAGATGCTATTAAAAATAATCATGAAGTAATAGTTGACACCAAAAATGAAAAAATGATCATTAATGTTCCTAGAAATGAAACACTTGCATAAGAAAGAAGGAAAATAGCAAAGAAAGTAGATAGAGGAGATCTTACACAAAATGTCTTACTAGTCTTTATTGATACGTTATCAAGGTAGAGACTTCACGATAAACTTCCAAAAACTGTGCAATTTTTCAGAGAGCGTGATCATAAAGAATTCTTTAGGCTACATTCTTATTGGGGAAGAACACAGGAAAATGCTTTCCCATACTTATTCGGGAAGACCCTTTAGGATTTTATTGAAAATCCTCCAGTTACTGAAGATTAAGAAATAAAAATGAAACCTCCTCCTAAGGTGCCCTAAGATAATCTGTTTAGCTATTTCAAAGAGCAGGGCTTTATTACTTCTTGGACAGGGGATCTTTGTGAAACCGGAATGTTTTCTTAAAAAGAATTCTACGATCAGTATGTTAAGAATGCAGCAACAGATCACGAAGGACTTTCTTCAGCTTGTGATCCCAATTTATATGATTTTAATTCACCTCACGGAGACTATCTTGGATCATATTCTTCATCTAGACGATGCTTATATAAGAGAGATTCTTATGAATTTCCTTTTGAATATGCTAAACAATTCTTTAAAGCATATGAAACTGAAAATAAAGTTATGATGATGACATTTATGGATATGCATGAAGGGACTATCGAAGTTATCAAATACCTCGACAATCCTTTAACTAATTTCTTAAAAGAAATGGAGGATGAAAATACAACAATCATTTTATGGAGTGATCATGGGTTGCATTTGTGGGGGTTAATTGAATCTTTGTCAAGAAGTTAGACTTGGATAGAAGTTATGAATCCATTTATTGTTATAAATAACTTGAAGGGTCTCACTAAAGAGTAGGAGTAAAATCTTGAAATTAACTAGTAAAAATTAGTTACTCATATTCACTTCCATAACTTCTTGAAGTTCTTCGCATCTGGTAAAGTTCCAGAAAACCCAATGAATTTAGTAAATAAACTTGGGAGTGATAAAGAAGTTTGTGATCAAATTGGGACTAGATGCATTTGTGAAAACTTTCCAAAATCTAGTACATTCTAGAGATGGCCTGATGTGTGAATTAATTAAAATTGGATCTGAACTGATTTCCTAATTTCTTTAATCATTCATTTATTTTTCAAGTTAAATGATGACTTGGGGTTTTGGGGTTTTGGGG